TTTCCCCCCCCCCCCCCCCATTTTTCCACAAATAGGAGCAAACTCCACGCTGTTCTGCACATTCTTTCCTTCGGGCATCTTCGAGCTCATCCACATCAGAACGTAAAGTGGCTCCTTGTTCTTTTTCTCGGCTGCATAGTATTCCTCAGCGTGGCCCTACCATGTGCACTGAACCAGTCGCCTATGAACAGGCGCCGAGGTGGCTTCTTGCTGTAAAAAACAAGGCCGAGATGAATCGTCTTGCACGTGGGTCGTTTGGCCTGTGTGCAAGTTTGTGAAGTAAATTCCTGGGAGAGAGAGTGCGGTGGCCAGAGGGGGGTGCATTTGTAACTCCGATATTTTTGCCAAATTGCCCTTCACGATCGGCCCGATCTACACTCCTGCCGGCAGGTCTGCGTGACCGCTTGCCCACGGCCTCTCCAGCGCCGGGTGTTACTCACTGTATAAACAGCATTCAGTGCTTACCACGCACCAGAAGGCCTTCGCCACCCCAAGGTTCTGGACTAATTCTCCTCTGGTTTCTCCTAGTGTCCTCGGGTTTCACTTTCCACACATTTGGGATGATCTGGGTGTGAGGTGTCCTGAGGGAGGCCTCCCCCCACCTTAATGTTTTTGCCGATGAGAACCCGTTGCCCTGACACTGCGTCTCTTTCCAAAGGCCATTGGCATTGCTTTCTATTGATCCTCATGACCCTCCCCAGGAACGAGGTCACACTAGGCCCCCCGGGGTTTGAGGCAGAGACCTGGCACTCTGGGCACGTGTGGGTGGTGACTGGGTACAGTGCTCCCAGGCTGGGCAGGTCATGGCCTGTGTCCCTTCCACCCCAGACGTCTGTGCCTTCTGCCACAAGACTGTGTCCCCCCGAGAGCTGGCCGTGGAAGCCATGAAGAGGCAGTACCACGCCCAGTGCTTCACGTGCCGCACCTGCCGCCGCCAGCTGGCCGGGCAGAGCTTCTACCAGAAGGACGGGAGGCCCCTCTGCGAACCCTGCTACCAGGTACCCCACCCCCCGCCCCCCTGCAGCAGCTCCCCCGGTGCCAGGCACTGAGCTGGGCGCTTGGGAGACGTTATATTATTTCATTCACAACAACCCTGGGAGGTAGGCACTACTGACCCATTTCACAGATGAGGAAGCTGAGGCTCAGAGAGGGGGAGGAGCTCAGCCAAGGTGTATTAGTTTCCTGTGACTAATGTAACATTACCACAAACTTGGTGGCACCAAACAGCACACACTTACCCTCTTACGGTTCCGGAGATCAGAAGTCCAAAATCAGTTTTACTGAGTCAAGAATCAGAGTGTTGAGCTCTACCCCCACGCCCCAATCTCTAGGGGAGAATCCGTTTCCTGGCCCTTTGCAGCGTCTAACTCGGCATTCCTCGCATTCCTGGGTTCCTTGGTCCACTTTCAAAGTCAGCAGGGTAGCATCTTGCTTCAATATCATACTTCCTGTGTCAAGTCTCCCTCTGGCTCCCTCTCACGGGGACACTTACGATGGCATTTGGGGTCCACCTGGATAACGCTGGGTGCTCTCCCCATCTCAGGGGCCTGAACTCAGTCACATTGCCGTTCGAGGTAGTCACAGGTTCCAGGGGTGAGGACCTGGGTGTCTTGGGGGTTGTCACTCACCTCTCACACCAGGTCACGCTCCGGACGGTGGTGGAGCTGGGGTCCTACCCAGGCCCACCTAGTTCTGGGGCCCGCCTGTGGTCTGGCCGCTCTTACCGAGAGCCATGAGATCTGCTGCATGATTTCAAGGGGGAGTCGGTGTCACCTCCGGGTACCGAATACAGTCTGGGATGGGAGGGCAGTCAGCTTGCTGGATGGGAGCTGGAGGAGCTGTTCCCTTCCTCACTTTTCCGTGGAAGAAAATTAATCACCGGGAGGAGAACAGGGCAGGGTTGCCCTTTGCCCTCCCAGGTGTGTAGGTTGGGGGAGGGGCAGTCAGGACTATTGGGTCCCACCCTGTAGCCAAGTCACCTGGTAAACACCTGCCCGCCCCCAAGGACATCCCAGCCCCTTCCTTAGCTGGGCTGGGCTCTCTGGTGCGGTGGGGTGGCTGTGCCATCTTGTTAGGAGGAGGAAGGCTCCATGCCCCTGGGAGGGGTCTGTGTCCAGGAGGAGTGTACCCTTTGCCCTGAGCCCACGTTCCACTCTGTCCCCCAGCCCCCCCCGGAGCGAGGCAATGGCCTCACAGCCTGAGAAGCGGGTCGCCTCGTCCGTCTTTATCACCCTGGCACCCCCACGTCGAGATGAGGCTGTGGCTGAGGAAGTGAGGCGGGCAGCTTGCGAGGCCCGGCCTGGCCGCCCCTGGGAATCTGCTGCCCCCACGAAGGCACCTGGAGCTGGCTCAGCGGGGAGGCCCAGCCCCTGGACTCCGCCTGGCAGGGCTGCAGCCACAGGGCCAGCTGCCCCCTCTCAGCTGCCCAATGGAGGTAAGACGGTGAGGCCTGGGCTGGGGGTGAGGCCTGGGCGGGAGGCCCGGTCAGAGGTGCACCGGGGTGGGGGAGAGGGCGGGCTCTGAGATGGATCATTCATTCATTCATTCATTCATCGAGCACCTGCTGTGTGCCAGGCAGACTCTGAAGCCCATCTGCCTGGGTTTGAATCCTGGCTCCTCCACTTAAAATGGGGATGTGACGGTACCTTCCTCAAAGGTTTGTTGTGAGGATTAGATGAGTTGATTCATATGTTTAGCCCAGCACCTGTCACATAGAAAGTGTCAAATATTTAAAAAGTGTTAGCTGTTGTTACTCTTCTGGGCCAGACACTTGGGGACATGAATAAAGAGACAAAGTTGTCAGCTTGCACGAGAGACTTTTTCTGACCTAGTGGGGAAAACAGATAATAAAAACGCAAGTGCTATAAAGGAATAAAACACGGTGAAGAGGTAAGGAGGTGTAACTTTCTATGGGGTGGTCAGAATGGAGTCTCCAAGGAGGTGGTATTCAGCTAAGGCCTGAATGACAGGGTGGAGCTGGCGAGGTGGGGGGCAAGGAGGGGAGAGACAGGAGACCTTGAAGGAGCAGCTACCTTTTTGAGCACCTACACTGTGCCGGGCACTACACTCAGGTTAGGCCATTTCATCCTCAAAAGTAATATAGTAGTAAATTAAGAACAGAAAGCTTCATTGCATAGTGGGAACAGCAAGTGCAAAGGCCCTGGGGCAGGGATGGGTTTGGCAGGCAGAAGGCCTGAAAGGTGGCTATGTGCTCTCTGGGGCTCTGCTGTTCTCTCACTGCGTGATCTTAGACAAGCTGTCTCCTCGCTTGGTGTCCTCTGGAAAATGAAAATGTGGTCGTGTATGTGACGCGTCCATTGCAGAATGGATACTTGGTAAATGACTGGTGTTTTTTTGCCCAAACCTGAGGTGGCCCTGGTAGCAGCGATGAAGGATGACAAGCCAGGGACCCAAGGCAGGGGGGCGGCTCCTTCGCTGTCAGGGCACCAGCTGGAACAAGGAGATGTCATTTCCATTTTCCAGGGTGGCAGCTGAACCCCTCAGGATCCCCCGGTGCCTAGTCAGGCATTCTGTTAGCCTAGGGCAGCCCTGGGCAGCCATCACCATGGAAACCACGCAGAGACCAATAGGAAATGCCGATTACTGGTACAGGAGGCCAGAAAGGGGCGAGAGAAGGGGCCACACGAGCACACACGTGGACATTCATGTAGCATGCGTCTTCATTAGGATGCAACCTCCTGCATTGATCTTTCCATCCCAACCACACATCCCAACCACAAGCCTTGTTCAGCTGCTTCTCCAAATAGCAGAGCCAGGACCTTGGTGACCTAGATTCACACATCAGGACACGTGATCCAATGGGAAAAAATGTATCCCTTATGGGTAGGAGATGGAGCTCAAGAAATATCATTTATAGAGCGTTGGCCTGCAGATTGAAGGGTCCTGGGTTTGTTTCCAGTCAAGGGCACAAACCTCGGTTGCAGGCTCGATCCCCAGCCCTGGTCAGGGCACGTGTGGGAAACAACCGCTCGATGTGTCTCTCTCACATCAGTGTTTCTCTCTGTCTCTCCCCCTCCCTGCCACTCTCTCTAAAAACCAATGGAAAAATATCCTCGGGTGAGAATTAAGAAAAAGAAAGACAGAAATACCACTTACTAGTAGATGCCAAATTTTCCTGGACATTCCCATGGGTTATGGGAATTGTAGGCAGAAGATCCTGGGAGTGTGACAACAAAACCAGACCTTCCTCAGGAAGACCAATGGAAAATCCTCGGGTGAGAATTAAGAAAAAGAAAGACAGAAATACCACTTACTAGTAGATGCCAAATTTTCCTGGACATTCCCATCATGTATGGGAATTGTAGGCAGAAGATCCTGGGAGTGTGACAACAAAACCAGACCTTCCTCAGGAAGC